CCTGGGATCGAGCCCCGCATCAGGCTCCCTTGCTCAGCGGGAAGCCTGCTTCTTCCTCTCCCACTCCCACTGTTTGTGTTCCCTCTCTCACTGTCTCTGTCAATTAAATAAATAAAATCTTTAAAAAATAAAAAAATGCTAAAAAGGGTAGTAAAAAAAGTAACAAAAGCAGGTTCAATTATGAATCAAAAATTCTACTCATCACCTATCAAATTGGTAAAGAGTAAACATAAATAATTTACAGGAAAGGTAAAACTATAAGGAAATTACCACTCTCATACTCTGCTGAAGAAACCACAAAACAGTGCAGTGTTTAAAAAAGGCGATGTGGTAACTGGTATCAAAAAGACTTAAAAATGTCCCCTGACTTTGTAATTTTACTTCCAGAAATGCCTTTTAGGAAAGCAATCAGATATAAAGAAGGCTGAATAGTCAAGGATGTTCCTCACAGTGTTATTTTTATGGTGTCAAGTTGTAAATACCTTAAATACCTAAGTAACAGAGAAATTTTGACCTTCAGCCATTAAAAAAGGTGTTTTTTTTTTTTTTAAAGATTTTATTTATTTATTTGACAGAGAGAGACACAGCGAGAGAGGGAACATAGCAGGGGGAGTGTGAGAGGGAGAAGCAGGCTTCCCACTGAGCAGGGAGCCCGATGTGGGCCTCGATCCCAGGACCCTGGGATCATGACCTGAGCCGAAGGCAGACGCTTAACGACTGAGCCACCCAGGCGCCCTAAAAAAGGTTTTAATAGAATACTTAATGATACAAGAAAATGTTATTTGTAAATAAAAAGCATGTTACACAGTATCACATGCCATAAAAATCCCAATTTTCTAAAATAAAGGAGAGGGGGGAAAAAAAAGGAAGAGCATACATAAAATTTTAGCAGTAATTCTTTTTGAATATATTTGTTTTTCTATGCTTCTCAAATTTTCCACAATGAAAATGTTACAATCAGGAAAACTTGAGTTCTTTTCAAAGAATAAACCAGTCAGAATTTTAGCAATGTCTACATTGTAAAAATTCAGTTCAATAATTATATTAATGACATTTGTCAGGCATATATTAGCATGTCTGTAATTTAGTAATTAATTTAAAACTAAATTTTTAAGATTTATTCCCAAGTTAAGCAATTTGGACTTTCATATCTTACTGTACAGAAATAGAGTGAATTTAAAATACAAATGTTTAATTAAAAATATAAATTTATTCAGCACATAGCAAATTCTAAGAATTTCCTGAACGAGAAAAGAAACAGGCTCATTTAGCTCTTAGCTGTGATGACAAATAAATAGCTATTTAGGGGCGCCTGTGTGGCTCTGGCCACTGGTCAGGTATCTCTGCCTTCCGCTCAGGTCATGATCCCGGGGTCCTGGGATTGAGCCGTGTCGGGCTCCCTGCTCAGCAGGAGAGTCTGCTTCTCCTTCCCCCTCTGCCCTTCCCCACTGCCCCCCACCCCGCTTGTATGTGTGCACAGGCGTGTGCGTGCTCTCTCTCAAATAAATAAAAATCCTTTAAAAAAATGATAGCTTTTTAGCTCTTTTAATTTAAAATTCATCTTTAAATTCACAAGATTTATCTATTAAAACTTCCTTATGGGAAGATAAAAGTGGCATCTCAAAGCAGTGAGAAGAAAAAGATGTACTAATCAGTAGTGTTGAGTCAACTAAGTAGCTATCTGGTGAAAAATAAAGCTAAATCTATACCTCAATTCCTTAGACCAGCATAAATTTAACTTGGTTCAAAGATCTAAGTGTATAAAATAAAGCCATAAAAAATACAAGAAACCATGAGAGAACTTATCACCTCAGAATAGGGAAGACCCTTTTGAATTAACCCATTAGAAATTTTTAAAGCATTGATAAATGAGACAACTATAAAAATATTCTGCAAGGCCCAAACCACTAAAAGAAAAACAGTAAAATATGGAAAATGACCCAAATGTCCATATCCCTACATTTAGATGATGGTTTCTGCCCAGAATATATTAAATCAAAATCTATTTAATTTAAGGTGTTTCCAACTATTCAGCCCCACATTAAATTATGTTTACATAGATGATTTTCATTTTTGTTTTGTTTTGTTTTTTGACAGATAGAGAGAATGGGCAGGGGCAGGGAGAGAAAATCTTAAGCAGGCTCCACGCCCAGCACAGAACCCAATGCAGGACTTGATCTCACAACCCTGAGATCATGACCTGAGCTGAAACCAAGTTGGACGCTTAACTGACTGAGCCACCCAGGCACTCCTGATTTTCATTTCTATTAGCAGAAATTCTTAGAAGTAAATGGAGGTGCCTATTGACTGCTTTATCTTCCAAACCAAGTAAAATACCTATTATACCTTACTGTAAAAAGTATCATAAGATGTGTGCTCATCAGTATCTTTTATGTAAAGCTAACTGGTATGTTTTATATAAATATAAAAAAAGTTTCCCTATTTTTATAACAAACAATTCTGTTTGTATAAACAACAAATCAGATCTTGAGCCTTTAAGGTACATAAATGGTACCTTCTACTCTAATTTCTTCTATTAGTTTTACATAAAAAAGTTAATATCCTCTCTCCCTCCCTCTCTATATATTCAGATACAAAAATAAAAATAATGTAAAAATTCAGTAGATTAAAGGGCCTTAAATACATCAGAAATTTGTTTACATGTGCTTAAACCGAGGTTTCCTTAATCATCACAACTTTACTGGAACAGTTTTTCAAAAGAATATATGCACTGCATGGATTTTTACACATTTTCTTAAAATACCTAGTTCCACCTTATATTTTTTAAAAAAATGTTGTTAGTCAAGAAAATACATGATCTTACTTTAGTACTATTTTTCATATAAACACAAAGAAGATAATTTGCTAAGAGCTTTTTCCTATGGAAATATTAACCCATATTCAAAATGTTTTACTACAAAAAAAAACCCATTAATGCAAAATCACATACATCAAGTTCAAAGAAAAAATCTTGTTCTTTGGATGCAATTTCATAATCTGCTCTTAAAGCCAGGTCATGAACTTTCAGACATTCTCCAAGATCCATTCTCTGGGGGGGCGGGCGGGGGGAGAGAGAGAAATAACATATTACTGAAACGGTAAACACATTTTTCAAAAATTCATTAACAACCACAATTCTCTTCAAAATACATATTAAGTCTTACAGATGCTTATTTATGGACTTTCAAATTACAAAATTTCATAGATAAGTATAAAACTTGATGCCAGAAAAAAATCCACATCAATTCTACCAACAGATGGGAATAGTGATTACTTTTGCACTTAAGAACAAACAGACAAGGAAAACTATAAAAATCTGAAAAAAGCTTCTAGCTTCTGTATCAAATTTCACTTAGCCCATTAACACAGAAAAGATAACGTTAGTTTAAAATTAAACTAAGAGAATATATAAATAAAATTGCAGATTATAGTCAATACTCTTTGAAGAACATTCTGATTTTTTTTTTAATGATTTTATTTATTTATCTGACAGAGAGAAATAGCGAGCACAGGAACACAAGCAGGGGAAGTGGGAGAGGGAGAAGCAGGCTTCCCGAGGAGCAGTGAGCCCGATGCGGGACTTGATCCCAGGACCCTGGGATCATGACCTGAGCTGAAGGCAGACGCTTAATGACTGAGGCACCCAGGCGCCCAGAACATTCTGATTTTCAAATAAAGATGGAGTCCTCAAACATTAGACCAGAAACCTTGATAAGGATTCCAGACATGATTCTAGGTGAACTAGTAAAAAGAAATTTATTAAGACTTGATATAACTTCACAAAAAACAGGTATCAAATCCTATTTACAAGCATGTATCAGGGAAATAAAACATACTCCCACTGAACCTAGGATCCTCCTACTTAGAATTCCAATTAGACATTATTTACCCAACCAGAGGTTTTCTCTTGAGACAAAAATTCCTAAAAATCTGCCCATTTTTACATGTTATCTGAGCAACTGATAATATCTTTCAAGAAATCCTTTAGTGGGAAAACTGAAGGGAAAAAATTGGGCTGGATGCAAAGATATTTACAGATGTGATTAATGCATGATCCAAGTAAAACAGATTTTCCAATTCCAAGTATGCTATCCTATCAATAGAATGTCTCAGAATTGGTAAAAAGAGAATACAGTAATTTGAAAATATAGTAAATATTGCCTTTGATTGGTAAAAGAGAATACAGTAATTTGAAAAGGTAGAGTAAATATTGCCTTTGATTCTGTTATACAAACTATGCATAAAGTATGACAAACATTATAGTAGTAAAGTCATTCCTTCAATTAACTGTGTACCCACTTGTGCCAAGCACTATGCTAGGTGCTAGGGACACAGAGCTAACTGTCACAGATACATACAGTCTCTGACCTCATGGAGCTGACATTCAGAAGAGGGGAAACAAATAATTAACCATAATTGTGTCTCTGAATACAGTTAAGAGGTTTAATAAAATAGTAATGCTCCCCTTACAATGAGAGGCTGCTTGGTGATCAAAAAGGTCTTTCTGAAGAGGATATATTTAAACTGGATTTAAAATGTGTGAGGAAGCAAACTAACCTTAGGAAAAGCTAAGAAAAGAATGCTTGAGGTTTTACAGAAGATTTAGGACGCAGATCTTTAAAAAAAAAAAAAAAAGAAAGAAAAAATGCCAGTGTCAAGCAGACGGATGTTTCTAGTAGCATGAAACAGACTAAAACAATGACTGGCACATAAGTCTGGGCCTATAAGCTTTATATGTAAGTACCTAGAAATGACTCTGTCTTAACTTTTTCACCAACAACCTGGATATAACAAAGGATATGAACGTCTATTTTATAGTACAATATCCCAAGCTAAAAAAATAGTGAATTCACTGGATTAAGATTCAAAAGAGGGCGCCTGGGTGGCATGATCCTGGAGTCCCGGGATCGAGTCCCGCATCGGGCTCCCTGCTCAGTGGGGAGTCAGCTTCTCCCTCTGACCCTCCTCCCTCTCGTGCTCTTTATCTCTCATTCTCTCTCTCTCGAATAAATAAATAGAATCTTTAAAAAAAAAAAAAAAAAGATTCAAAAGACCTGCGGCACCTGGTTGGCTTAGTTAGAAGATCATGTGACTCTTGATTTCGGGGTCTTGAGTTCGAGACCCAAGTTATGTGTAGACATTACTTAAAAATACATAAACTTTAAAAAAAATTTTTAAGATTCAAAAGAGTTGATAGATCAAATTTAAAATAAATATGAAGTCTTATAGCCATATCTAAGTAGGCAAATTTACAAATAGCTATGAGCAGAAAATTAAGACAAATTTAAAAACATACCAGTCAAGAGTAAGAGTTACAGTGTGGCATGACTAAGATAAATTAACTTACAGGACATAGTATCAACAAAGTAAGAAATCTCTTGCTGAAGGCTGGCAAACACCTCTCTTCCAAAAGATACATTCTGTGTGGTAACACATTTCAAAAGGATATAAATAAGTTAGACCAAGTGTTTCCAATCCAAGCTATACAAAAAAAGCTGGAGGACAGATGTGATTGGCCAAGAAAAATCAAAATGTGAACCTAGTCCTCAATCAACTAAAGAAATTTTCAGCATGAAGCAGAAATAGATCTTATTATGGCCCCAAAGGACTCTTTCTCTCAAATTAAAAACAAAAACAAAATACCCACCAACTTTCTAACGATCAAAGCTTTCCAAAGATAGAATACACTTCCTCAAGAGTGAGTGAGTTCCCAGATAACTGAAAGATCCCAATATGGTTTAGACAACCATTTTTCTAAGATACTGAGGAAAGAATTCAACTGTTAAGTAGCTTCCTCCTTCCAACTCTGACATTTTATGATTATCTAAAAAATAAGTTTCTCTGCAAAACTACTACCTCGGTTACTAATTACATAAAAGAATGTATGGGAAAATAAAGACTATGTCTTCCAAGTTATCCTTTGGGAAATAATAAGGAATATTTACCAGTATTATAAATTCTCATCCCACTAATGGCTCTCATGTATCACTGTTGCTGGGCATGCTGAGATTTTTCCAGGCCCCACTGCTTACTCTCATTCATAAGTCTATGGATTAACGAAGCCTTCCAGTGACATTAAACAGCAACTGAAACTTGCTGTTGATGTGTGGAAATTCAAAACTGCTTATTAAGCAACATTGTTAGGAAGCTATAGGAAAAAATGTAATGCTCCTAAAATATGCAGGAAAATAAGACAGTAATGAAAAAGTTACAAAAGAACATTGTTACCATCTTTGCTACACCAGTGTGTGTGCGCGCGCGCGTTTATGTAGGCTCCATGCCCAACAGGGGGTTTGAACTCATGACCTCATGATCAAGAGTTGTATGCTCTACCAACAGAAGTCAACCAGCCACCCCAGCGAGTGTTTCTTAATTGGTATCTTAACATTAATCTCTCCAACAACTCCCTTTGTATGTGTTTTTCTATAGCTACAGTTGTTAATGGGATGCTACACTTACTTCCTAAAATGTTATGATGCCAGTTGGGAATGCCATTGATCCAACGCAGTTGTTTTTAACCTAGACCCGGGGTAATAATACTGACACAAGCTTCTGAAAACAGGTCCAAGCCCTACCCTCCAAAAACAGAATTGTAAAAGCCTCCCAGGTGTTTTTAATGTACAGTATTGGTGGGGCGCCTGCGTGGCTCAGTCGTTAAGCATCTGCCTTCAGCTCAGGTCAGGATCCCAGGATCCTGGGATCGAGCACCCGCATCGGGCTCCCTGCTCCATGGGAAGCCTGCTTCTCCCTCTCCCACTCCCCCTGCTTGCATTCCCTCTCTCGCTGTCAAATAAATAAATAAAAAGATTAGAAAGAAAAAAAGTACAGTGTTGGGAACCACTCACTGATCTAGTTTTATTCCCAATCTACAAAGGAAACGAAGCCCAGAAAGACACTTATTCCAGATACTTAATAGAAAATCTGGGGTGCCTGGGTGGCTCAGTTGGTTAAGCGACTGCCTTCGGCTCAGGTCATGATCGCTGAGTCCCGGGATCGAGTCCCACATCGGGCTCCCTGCTGAGCAGGGAGTCTGCTTCTCCCTCTGACCCTACCCCCTCTTGGGCTCTCTCTCTCTCTCACTCTCTCTCAAATAAACCTTTAAAAAAATAAAAAAATTAAAATTAAAAAAAAAGAAAAAGAAAATCTGGTTAGACTGATTTCTAGTCTAACACCCCTTCTGTTTTACCATGCTAGTGTTCTGCACATAGCAGATACCCAAAGCAGTTGTCTAGCTGCCTTTCTTCCAGTTGTCTCCCTTATCTTTATCCTATGCTTAACTAGATTTCCAATCTGTTCTCAATAAAAGCCTAAAAGGAGTCTATAAATTTTGTCTCACTGTTTAACCTAAACATCTCTGTTGCCTACCCATACTGGCAGGAATTCTAGGCTTTCCTCTGCTCTATCTTTAAACTTACATCATACAACGAACCAAAGGAAAAAAGCCAACTATGTGGGTCAAGAACAAAATGAACACCAAAAAGGACACATTTCACAATTATACCGCTGGTTTAAGGCTGAGTTTTGGTAAGAGGAAGAAGTTTGGGGCGGGGGGTGGGATGGATATATGCCTTGGAAGGGAATTTGTGCAAGGGGGAAATTTTTACTACTTCACTAGAATGTGTGTTCCACAAGGACAAGGAATTTTTTTCTATTTTATCTACTATGTAATTTACCTGGTATATAGGAATGTTTAATAAATATTTGTTGTGGGGCGTCTGGGTGGCTCAGTTGTTAAGCATCTGCCTTCGGCTCAGGACATAGTCCCAGGGTCCTGGGATCGAGCCCCCGCATCGGGCTCCCCGCTCTGCGGGAGGCCTGCTTCTCCCTCTCCCACTCCCCCTGCTTGTGTTCCCTCTCTCGCTGTGTCTCTCTCTGTCAAATAAATAAATAAAATTTAAAAAAAAATAATAATAAATAAATATTTGTTGAATGAATCAAACTGGTAAAAGAGGACAAAGAAGACATTTGGCATACGGGGCCCTGAGCTTAACAAGCAAGGGTGATCAAGATGCAACCCAGTATAAAACTGATCTAAGTTCTGGAGGGGAA